CTTTGTATGTGAATGTGTGTGCGCATGTGTAAGTGTACATAATGCATACCTTCGCCTTCGTTCCAGCACCTGGCGGTGGACAGCCCTCCAGCGCTGACCCAGGACCTCCAGCTTGTCCTGCAACAGGGGCCCGTCCGGGGCCGACAGCTGCCCGATGATCCGCTCCCCGGTGCGGGACAACGTGGCCAGGTCGGACTGGTGGCTGGTGAGGCCTTCCTCCAGCTCCTACGAGAGAGATTGAGCGAGAGAGTGAGGGAGAGACAGATCAGGAGAGAAACAGTGAGAGACAGAGAGAGAGACAGACAGAGTGTGATAGAGAGACACAGAGAGAGCGAGAGACACACGCACACACACACACACACACACACAAAAGGTAAGTGGGGAGGAAATCAGAAGATCAATGGAAATGATCAGCTCATTTGCTGGGGGCCCGTTCCCTGGCCTCCGGTCCCTTCTGCATCCATCACAAATCTCCCCACTGACCAGTCGCCATGAGTTGTGGCCAATCAGAATGCGAGCCGCCAAATCTCCTTCCCGCCAAGACTCGGTTGTAAAGAACTGAGTAGTGAGCATCAAGCTGCCACAGGGTGGGTCAACTAATTGATCCATCAATTCTCACCTGGTTGACCTTTACCTCTCTCTCTCTCTCTACCTCCCTCTCTCCCTCTACAGCCTAACGAGAGATTAGTAGCCCGTAGCTACAGAGTCAGGAACTCCAGTGTCTTTACTAAATCACAAGGCGGTCTGTCCCACTGTCACTGATAATTAAAACTCAAGAGAAGTCGACTCAGGACTTGGTCATTTAAAAAAAACGAGAACAAGAGAACAAAAAAACAATAGTTGCCCCCCCCACCCTATTGCACATTTTTTCCTTCCCCACTCTGCTCTATAAATTCACCGGCTGGATTTGCATGCTGTTTGGTTATTAAGTGAAATATAGTGCCATTGTTTTCGAACCCCTTGAGAGGAAAATCCAATTATCTCACATCTCACGCCCGCGGCTGGCTTTCATCACAGGGAGTAAACGCATTACTGGTCGCGTATTTCTGGTGCGGGGAAAACATTTCTGGATCATGAATGAATATATAAATAAGCCGTATCGTTTCTCGATTGAACGGTTGACTTGAAAGGCGTTGCCAACCGGGTCTCCGAAATAAAACCCAGTACTTTCATGTACTTCATCATCCAGTATTTTAACCAGACAGTATAAACGATTCACCTTTGACCCATTTTACTCAATGGAGACTTTTAACATGTCTCCATTGAGAGGTTTAGTATGGATTTTTGCATTAGCCAAAATTAACCTCTCAGTTCATTTTCGATTTCCAAGTGGTGTTATCAACGGTTGCAGACCAAAATGCCTCTGGACGCAATTCGATAGACCTACAACCAATCAGAGCAACGAAACATGTGACGTAAATGAAACTTTTACCAAATCCTGTCGAAAGTTACAACAAACACAGTCATCATATCAAACCCGCCCTATATTAGATAAACCGCTTTGATTGGCCCGACCCGGGTCAGGTTGGCCGGAAATCTGTCTGAACGGGAAGGGGTAAATACAACATGAGCTTGCAGATTTGTCTGGTTCCCAGGCTAATTTTTTACCTAGAATAAGACTAAAATCAACATCATTTTGGTGTATCCCCTTTGCTACACAAACACACAGGTGTGCATGTGTACACACACACACACACTTCCCAACCTGCTGGTGTAGTGCGGCTGTGTCCAGGTCCAGCTGTCCGTCCGGGCCGGTGCCCTCAGCCATCAGATCCTCAGTCTCTCTGAGCCATAGGTTGAGGTCATTCAGGTCACAGTGAAACTGGCGCCACTCCTCCACGGCCCGGTCGAAACCCCTGTAGCACATCACAGTCTTTACATAACGTTTGTTTCAAAAGAAGCGGCCCAGACTCATCTAGGGAGACTAAAAGGGAGACCACAGGTCATCGGCACTGAATATAGGCTTGACGTATGAAGTACATTTTACGTTTTTTGTACAATTATACAGCAAGTCCTTTTTAGTATGCATGTTCATTGGGATGTCCATGTATAGGCTACAGCGGTGTCATGCGTCGGCCCCAAAAAGAATTTTGCTCCGCCTTCACGTTTGAAGGTCAATAGTAAAATGCAATTTAGCACCTGACTAGAAAACAGCTGCAGCTACAACCGATGCCATCTGCAGTTTGTTATTGGCTTTTGACACTAAAAGGTTTTTTTCTCACACAGAATAAAAGGTTATTGAAAAGTAAAGTGTGATTTAAGTTGTGTTTTTTGTTTATTTTTTTCAAACTGGGCTGTGATCGCTTTATTACATCCTCAGAATAATAATCCTCGACAAATCCCTATTCACAATGCTGAGTTGCCATCAGATATCCGGCTTAACCCATTAACAAAGACATGACGTACAGACGGCAGCAATTCAACACACATTCAAATCTATATGCACACACAAAAGTAGCGTTTACGTGCAGCTTTGCGGACACCAAAAGCAGCATGGATTTTCTTACCCTTTAGTAAACGTATTGTTTGCTGTTTTTTTGTTCTGTTCTGATTTAGTTTTCCATTTCCTCACTTTGAGCAAACACATGACATTGAATGCCCACTGGAAACAATGCTATGGAAAGCTAATTTCCTGTTGACTCAAATCAGGCAATTTACCCAAACATCCTAACAATCCAATCCTTTTTAATGTAATGGCATGGGTAATTTAGTAATGTTCTTGATCATTTCAAAGAAGAAAGAGACTTTTTGTGCTTCAAGAGATCAAATTCAAGTTTTAGGCTTTTTTTTATGAAATGGGCAAGTGTTGATCATTTCTTATTGAGCACAATTGTCATCGTCTGACACCAAAATAATTGAACAGCTCGGCTACTGAATAATTCAAGTACCAAGTGGCTGATCACTGGCAATTCATTAATCATGAGGAACAAAGAACCCTAATCCAGAAGTGGTTTTAACTGCAACACACTCGGATCAGATCCTAGACTAGTGTTGGACATGCAGCCTGACTAGCCTAGTCCTAACTAGACCTTCGTACTCATTTAATTCATAGTAAAGGTCTAGCAGTGCTGTAGAGACAAACGATTTCTCACTTGAAGGCGGGTGCTGTTGAAGTTTAAAACCTATTGGCTCTGCCCAGTGCCACTCTGGATCTGCCATAACCAATCGCTAACGTTTGGTCGTGACGTATTTCATGCGCCAGAAACCACGTTGCGCGCAGTATACAAACGGCAGATGCAGTGAGCATTAGCATTAGCCTCCACCCGCCTCCGTACTTCCGCTCAATAACTGAAATTCGCGCACGACCTCTACGTCACTGTTCTCAGGCCGCGCCTCCTGTTCGCTGATTGGAAGGCACATTTGAGGGAAAAGAAATCGTTCTAACATACAGCACGGCCAGACCTTAGTACTGAAGTGAAATGAAAATTGAGCGGAAGTACGTAGGCGGGCTACAGCCTGACAGGCATTCACCAAATCTGTCAAATTTGCCTATGATAATAATATCGGAAAATATTACGATATTATTATCATAGGCAAGTTCGACAAACACTTTGTATGTGGAAAACACACGTCTGATATTTCCCAAGGAATAGTGTATTCCTCATCAACAAGGTCAATTGAAAGCTTGTGAATGTGAGAGAGCGACATAAAGGGAGAGAGAGAAAATAAAAAAAGGAAAGAATGGGGAATTGAGCGTCTGTGTGTGCGTTTTGTTTTCGCAATGTATGCCCAAGGAACTGTTTTGATAGTAATCAAGGTCGATGTGTGTGTGTGTGTGTGTGTGTGTGTGTGTGTGTGTGTGTGTGTGTGTGTGTGTGTGTGCGCGTGTGTGTTGGGGGCTTTGTTTGCGTATGTGTGTGAGAACGACAGTATCTGTAGGCAGATCGTCTTCCAGTCCATCTTAGCAGTGAAAGATTCCTAGCAGCTGGCATTTGGTGTCTGCTAGGCTTAGGTCAAGCCACTCATGTGCATTCACCAGCACACACACACAGACACACACACACACACACACACACACATAAACAAACACAAAACACACACACACACACACAACACATTTCCCATGTTACTTTCGATTTGTTCGCCACACATCCATTCTAAAATGTCATCATGGTGTGTGTGTGTGTGTGTGCGTTCCCTTGTGTGTGGGTACCCACCCCTTGCGGTGGTTGTACACGCGGTTGAGGCGGTCCCACTCTGCGTTGAGCTGGGTGAGGGCGTCCTCAATCTGGGCCACCTCGCCGGGGGACGCGTTCTCCATGACGTCTGGCTGCCGCTCGTGGATGTTAGCCACGCCCTCGCCCAGGCGATCCAGACCATCCTTTATGTTCTGGGAGCGGAGATGAAGGGATCAGAGAAAAGGTATATGAGAGAGAGAGAGAGAGAGAGAGAGAGAGAGAGTGCAAAGTAGAGACAGAGAGAGAAGTAGAGGGAGAGCAAAGTAGAGACAGAGAGAGAGGGAGACAAAGAAAAAGAGATAGAAAGAAAGAAGAAAAGATAGAAAGACAGAAAGACAGAAGGCAGGAAAGAAAGAAAGGAATATAAAAAAGATAGAAAGAAAGAACGAAAGAGGGAAAGGTTCAATTAGAGGAACAGTAAGTAAAGTGTCGTGTATTAATAATAAGCGAAACGCTTATGTACAATTTAAGACTGATCCCCGCCCCACCCTCAGAGAGTCCTCCTGGCTGGAGAAGTCCTCGTAGAGCCCCGCGCTGAGCTCCTGGGAGTTGAGCAGCAGCTCACTGTCGGCCATGGCCAGCAACACCTTGTTGATGTCCAGCAGGTAGTCCGACGCCGTGGGGCCGGCGGGAGCCACATGCTCCCCTGGCGACATCTGGTGGCCGTACAGGGGAAGGACAGCAGAGTGAGAACGAGAAGACAGCAAAGAAACAGACAAGAGAGAAAGGAAAAAATTAAAACAATTATCGACATGGTCTCCTTCCTATGCAATAGGGCTTGAAAAAATGTTTTAATATACTACACACTATTACTATTACAGTGGTCCTGACTAGCTCAACTGGTATAGTGTGGCATTACCGTTGCCAGGGTTCGATTCCCACTGGGACCCACCCATGCTAAAAATGTATGCACTCAGGGTAAGACGCTTTAGATAAAAGTGTCCACCAAATGGCCTATATATACTATTAAGGTCCAAAAACATGGGACAAAACATAGTCTAGCATAGCCAGACCTATCTTGGTTTCAGCGCTGTGTGAATGCCCAAGAAAACATCATGAAATAAATTGCACAAATCCGAAAGCAAGAGAGAATATCATCACACACACACCTCAGCAGACATGTTGCTGGTGAGTTCCGTGAAGCTGTAGGAGGAAGACGACTCCACAGAGGTATTCACCTGCTGTCTGACCTCCAGTACTTTCCGCTCCTAACACACACACGCACAAGCACACACAAACACACTTAATCCACAACTGAGTACAAGGGAATACTGACCGCCACAAATCACATCTTTCTATTGTACAATAAACATAAACAAATACATGAACCCGTGCACGTGTTAGGGTTGCACAATGAATTGCATATTAATCTAAATCATGATTTTGACCTATGCAAATAACCGATCCTGAAAGGTCGCAATTCATTTATAAAAAAACACCCATTTGTACACCTGTTACATTAAAATCTAACTACAAACCGTTACAACTCAGGAACTACTATACTCTTTATTGTTCATATACAGTAGGAGGCCCCACAGAATATTAATTGAATCGATAATCTGTTAATGATAAGCTCTACATGTTTCTGTGTGTGTGTGTGCCACCCACCCTTTGAGCAGAGTACTGGCTCTGCAGCCGTAAAAGCAGCACCCTCAGCTCCTCCCGCTGGGCCTCGTCCGCCGCGTGCAGTAGCACCTCCTCACCGCGACGCAGGAGCTCCTCCACGCCCGCCTTCTCCTCGTCCAGCTGGTGGGGGGGAAGGGGGGCGGTGGGGGGGGGGGGGGGGGTCAGAGGTCAGTGGACAAATCCATGAGATTTGTCCACCGTTTCGTAAAATGCTGATGGCAGTCGATCGGACGGAAGAGAAAACAACTTTTAGTTTGCTGACGGACGATGGGCTGTATCGAACATAGCACACTCCCCGACAAAGCTGCAACGTGCTTCACTGCGAGTTTAGGAAAGATATGAGAAAAACTTGCTTCCTGGCTCTTACACTGACCTTGTTGTGGATTGGTCGGTCGGTTCATTTCTACGCACACATCCAGTGTAAGCAAGTGGGAGTGTGTCTGTGTGTGTGTGAGGCAAACAACTAACATTGATAAAATGCCGCTCTCTCACACTTCCTGGGCCTTGGGATTGCCAGTCAAAGCTACGCTTATCATCAATACAGCCTTTAGAGCTGTTTGCGGTTCACAGACACACTCGTAAAATGCCAAGTAGTAGATAAAAAGCAAACACGACACTACAAAGAGTCTGTCAGGCAATATTTCCTTGATTCTTTGTTCCATAACAGTTGTCAAGTTGTCAAACGTAGAAAAGCCTTCAGCAAACAATATAACGGTAAACTATTTCCCCTTATAACATGACTCAAAGCATTGATGTATAATAGCCACTCTGTATCAAATTAATTTTAGAACTGCCCATCTTTAGAAAATATTGCCACAAAAGATCTCAGTAAAAGTATCACATATTTCATAACTGCCAAGATGTAGAAACCATTGACACAAAATACCAGCAACAGTATCAATCTTTTGTAAAGACAATATTGTATCTTTTTTATGGCAGTAACGTTAAAGAGTTTGATTTCAAAGCTATGACAGATATTAAAACACAATAGACTGGGTGAACCTTGTCGTCGTCCAGGAGTTGGGTGGGCTCCTGCTGCCGCTGTAGGGCCCGTAGGCTGTCCTGGAGCTGGGCCTGGAGGTGCATCACCTCGCTGGGGGGGCCCAGGGGGTCGGGGCTCCCGGAGACCTGGGGGGTCCCTGCCCCCCCGGGGCCCCCAGAGACCTGGGTCTGGCTGGGGCTCTGGACATCCACCCTGCTCTGCTGGCTCTGCATGACTTGTTGCTGCTGATTCAAGAACTTTATTTGTCACATACACATACAGGATGTACAGTGAAATGAAAGTGGCAATGCTTACGGGATTATGCAAAAAGAGTAACAGTATTTACAATAAAAAAGAAGCAACAATATTTACAGCAAAAAGAGCAACACTATTTGCAATAGGTGTAGATATAAATAAGGGATCTGAAAAAATATATGAATAATATATAAATATGTACAGTTGCTATATGTATATCTGTGTGTGTGTGTGTGTGTGTGTGTGTGTGTGTGTGTGCGCGCGCGTGCTTGCGTGTGTGTGTGCTGGCAACAACAACAGTGATGGCAAGTTCATTAAAACCCTTTGATGTATCCAGAGTATACAAGCTGGAATCAATCAAACAATCAATCATGTTCTGATTGTGTTCACTAAGAGGACTGCATTGAAACGGGGGCGAAATTTCTAACCAATGTTCAAAAAGAGTTAATTTGGCCCAAATATTTCAGCGTAACGTCCAGCAATCTGGCTTTGCGGATGAAGCGAACGGACAGTTTTTTTTACATTGTTGGCTCAAAGTTAACATAGGGTTATGTAATTGGAAGACCCCACACTCCCGACCTGATTGTAGTCAGTAACAACCAATTCCATTCCACTCTATCTAGATATTGCATTGTAATTGATTCGGCCAGGTTCAGAATTAAGTTGCATCTGAATTCATAGAAAGTTGTAAGTGACTAAATAGTCGATTGTTTGTGCTGTTGGTTTCTACTACAGAATTTGATAGTATAAATAGATTAGGTATTTACTTTTGGTTTTACTCTTACCTGCATCATCATCTCAACAGCACCGCTGTCCAGACTGCTCATCATCTGCAAGTCAAGACACACATGCGCACACACACACACAGGAATTAATGCCATAGCAGGCAGGATAGTCTAGAACAGTGGTTCTCAACTGGTCTAGCCTCAGGACCCACATGTGTCATTCGTCATTAAGTCACGACCCAAAAATAATAATAATTAAATGATCCATGAATAAATTTACTGGTATAAACTTTGAGCGAACAAAAACCTGCAACAATTGGGGCTGAACTCAATGAAATAGTACACCATTGAAACATGAATTCACATTGAAACATGAGTTAATTTATGGGATTCTTTCTAAAGATTAAGGTTTGATATATGCTCTGCAACCCAATCAAAATGCAGATCCATAAGTGGGTTGCGACCCACCAGTTGAGTTTCACTGGTCTAGTGGTCATGGTGCTCGCTGAGTCGCTGCTGATTGGTTTGGGGTTTGAACCACAATGTTCACAGTCTACCTAGCCCAAATTTCCTGTCTGGGATTTTTAAACCTGCACTATGTCACTTTTCTACTGCAGCTATTTACTCAATTACAAAACAAATCAGAGCTAGAAAGTTTCTCAAGAACAAAACGTGCCTATCCACGAGTCAATCCATCTAGGGCATTTTTATCTAGAAATTGTTTTATTCTGGTACACTTTATAGTTATGGCTATGATAAGCTATAACTGTAGCTACAAGTCAAGCCACTAGAGGCTGCTCAGAGGAAAACTTAGATAGTGCAGGTGTAACCAACTCTGACTGTGACCGTGTGTGTGTACCTGGGCTGTCTGGATGTGCTGGGAGACCTTGTCGAAGTTACGGTTGAGCTCGGCCAGCTTGGGCTCCACCACGTCCCGGCAGGCGGGCCCCCTGCTGGTCATCAGGATGACCGCCTGCTCCCTGACGCTGTCCACGCGCAGACGCAGCTCCGCCAGCTCCTCCAGCATGCGCTGAACAAACATTCACACACACACACACACACACACACACACACACACACACACACACACACAGGAGTGTGTGTTAGGACTATGTCAGGGGTCCATATAACGCTGGCCCTGGTGCACTTTTAGAACGCATTTTTTAAATTTCTTTAGTTATAATATTCCTAGGCCAGTGGTTACAATGGTGGGGCCAGTCACTTTGAAAAGCCACTGGCCTGTCAACCTCTATATGTAGTGTGGCTGGAGCAACAACAACATTAAGTCACTCATGATGCCAGATATGGCTTCCTGACTTTTTTATTAATGCAAGATTCAACGTCTTATGACATTTTGTTGTTTTTTTCGTGTGAAAATAAAAAGAACCTCTAAACTTGACACTATGACATTTCACTTCACCCATGACATCCTTATTATTATAATCAAAGCATATTGTAAATATGAATGTGATGGCCTATTTGCTGAGGGGGCCCGTTACCTTGACCACTCTCTCTCGGTCTGCAGAGGGCAGCCTCTCGGCTTCGTCCAGGTGGATCTGAGTCTGGTAGAGCCAGGTGCTGATGTGGGCCAGGTTCTCGTCGAAGATCTCCACCTCGTTCTGGTGGCTCTGCGGATTAATAGAAAAAAGCGAGAAGAGAGAAATGTTATTGCATGAAAGCCCCCCTTTTATCTGGCGTTCATCCACCGAGTAACAGACAGTTCCTTCTGCCTCCATTGTATCCGTCTTCCTATCTTAGTCGGCAACTACTCATGAAATATCTTTGTCAAGCACAACCATGAAGGTCAGGTCTTCTGCGTTGGTGTAGCACAATTATTTTAAAAAATGTATTATTTAATTACACATAAACATCTAACTAAAATGGAAGGTGTATGTATGTATGCATGCATGTATGGCTGTCCTTTGATTTTCTCAACAACCGTTCATCCATTTCACATCACACTTGGTGCGAGTATTGCTGAGGACCCAAGGCAGCGCAGTGTTGAGTGTGAAGTTGTTTGGATGAGCGGTTCTCGAGAAAGCTGCAACAGTCGGCCCATTACAGACAGGCACGCATAAGGCACTGCACTGGCGGGTGAATAGCTGAGGACCCAAGGATTGCGCAGTGTCGAGTGTGAAGTTATATGTGCCTGTTGAATAACTACTGCGTTACAGATCGGTTCATTTCTTTCATTAGGGTTCCAGGGGTATTTTAATTAAGTTAGAATATTCCTAGGCCAGTGGTAACAATGGTGGGGCCAGTGACTTTGAAAAGCCACTGGCCTGTCAACCACTGTAGTGTGG